CTTTATGAGCTAATTAGATCCCTTGTGAGGGTCAGTTGAGCAAAGTGGCATAAGAATTGTCTTAATTCCTCCTCTCCTTTCTAACAGGCAAAGTCATTAGTGAGGTCTTTGCTATCAACTTGTCACCATGTTAGTGGAGAATGTAGGGCAAAATGGGCTCCTTTCCTATTTGTTCTATTTTGAGGAAATATTGGTCCTTGCATTAACTTGGCAACTCTCTCCCCCTAAACCCTCCCTCCCTCCCACTCTAACCTTGTTTCATAAATACTTTTGAAGTGCCAGAAGAAGAGAGTGAAATTAAAGAGGCCGCTGAAGCAGTCGATGTGCCACTTGAGGAAGTCACAGAACATGTCGAAGATGTCGACTGCATCGAAGAAGTGGAGAAAAACGACATTTTGAGTGAGTTTTGTTTTGATGAAATATGTCATGCAATGTGTTCACAGTTGTTTTCGATCAAATTATAACACTATTTTTCTAACTCAGATGGCCAAGAACCAGAAGACGGCCAAGATGAAACTGGTTGTGCCGAAAATGAAGTTGTGGACGTGAATATGGCCTGTGAGTCAATTCATCGTATTTTGTTTGCTTTTCATTATATTTGCCCACAGATTTGAAATTGGAATTTAGCTGCATTTTTGCTAGTATCTCAACGGCACTCTGTAAAATCTACAATATTTTGAATTTTCGCATGTAACAAATCAGCCACTCGGAAAATGCTTAGAGGCACTAAAGTGCGATTTTTAAATTGGAGTAGTGTGTCAATACTGTTCTTATTTTTTAATCCGTCAAAGTGGAAGAAAATGCCTCTTCGGGAAATAGGCCACATCCGTTTGAGGAAGTGTGGAAGTCCGATTACGTCAGTTAGAGAAGGTGAATGATAGGGGGGAGTAGTTTGACTGCTCTTCGACTGCCAGTATGGGAGTGTTTAGAAATGAATGTATTGAATGGCGCATTCAGTCATCTAACACTTGTTCCTTTTCTTTTATTTTTCTCATGACTACTAAGTAACAGACAATGGTGATGTGAGTGGAGAGTGTGACGTGAGAGAAGAGGAGGCGATCGTGGAAGTGGTCGTAGAAGAAAGCGAAACTTCTGCCTTCCATGCGGTGGATAACGAGAGCGTCGATTTCGGTGAGTAGTTCCAAACTGTTCACGATGGTCTGAGCACGTTTCATTTCAGTGTTAGGTGGTGTGAGTGGAGAGTGTGATGTGATGTGATGCGATGTGATGTGTGTGTGTGTGTGTGCGTGTGTGGTATTGAGTGTTTGAGGCAGGGTTGTAGTCTTGTCGGTTGCTTGCTCCCAATGGCCTTCTTCCTATGAATGGAAGAGCGGTATGAACATGGTGGGCTAAATGATGCCTTTCGACAATACGCACTGATTGCTTGCAATGGGAAAGATGCCAGAAGTGTGTGTACGTGCCATAGGGTGCAACGCGGAATGATTGACCAAATGGTGGAAAGGAAGGGGTTTTTTGTGACTATTCAGATTTTGAGGAAATATTGGTTGTTGCATTAACGTGTCAACTCTCTCCCCCTAAACCCTTCCTCCCTCCCTCCCACTCTAACCTTGTTTCATAAATACTTTTGAAGTACCAGAAGAAGAGGGCGAAATTGAAGAGGACGCTGAAGCAGTCGATGTGCCACTTGAGGAAGTCACAGAACATGTCGAAGATGTCGACAGCGTCGAAGAAGTGGAGGAAAACGGCATTTTGAGTGAGTTTTGTTTTGATGAAATATGTCGTGCAATGTGTTCACAGTTGTTGTCGATCCAACTATCACACTTTTTCTAATTCAGGTGGGCAAGAACCAGAAGACGGCCAAGAAGGGACTGGTTGTGCTGAAAATGGAGTTGTGGAGGTGAATGTGGCCTGTGAGTCAAATCATCGTGTTTCGTTTGCTTTTTGATACTTGAACAGTTCTGAAACACTCGAATTCGACTCGCAAATGTCTGGTTTACGTGCGTCTGCTAACCTTTGACAATTGTGTCGTTGATTGGGCAACACAAATTAGGAAATTCAATAAGAAAATAATTTATTTATTTATAGTTTCGAATGTAGTAATGCCATCTTTTGTCTTTCTAGCACACGAGGAATCGAATGAATTGGTGGTGAACAGCGAACCACTTTCCAATGCAATTGAAGAGGCCATTGAAGAAGTGGAAAACGATGTCCACTGTGCTGAAACGTTGTGTTCGGGTGAGTCGATCAGTCACATACGATAGTGTCACTTTTGTTTGGGTGGAGAGTAGGCTCAAGGTTCGACATGACATTGAGAAACCTGGGTGGAGGTTCCACGCACCAACTCTACTTTCACGCCTTCAACATGGTAGGGGGTGGGGATGAATCTTTATGAGCTAATTAGATCCCTTGTGAGGGTCAGTTGAGCAAAGTGGCATAAGAATTGTCTTAATTCCTCCTCTCCTTTCTAACAGGCAAAGTCATTAGTGAGGTCTTTGCTATCAACTTGTCACCATGTTAGTGGAGAATGTAGGGCCAAATGGGCTCCTTTCCTATTTGTTCTATTTTGAGGAAATATTGGTTGTTGCATTAACGTGCCAACTCTCTCCCCCTAAACCCTCCCTCCCTCCCACTCTAACCTTGATTCATAAATACTTTTGAAGTGCCAGAAGAAGAGGGCGAAATTAAAGAGGACGCTGAAGCAGTCGATGTGCCACTTGAGGAAGTCACAGAACATGTCGAAGATGTCGACAGCGTCGAAGAAGTGGAGGAAAACGGCATTTTGAGTGAGTTTTGTTTTGATGAAATATGTCGTGCAATGTGTTCACTGTTGCTGTCGATCCAATTATAACACTTTTTTTCTAACTCAGGTGCCCAAGACCCCGAAGACGCCCAAAAATCAGATGACGGCAAGGAAGAGATTGGTTGTGCCGAAACTGAAGTTGTGGATGTTAATGTGGCCTGTGAGTCAAATCATCGTATTTTGTTTGCTTTCCATGATGCTTATACAGTTGTGAAACACTCTTATTTGATTTTCGAATGCCAGATTAGGAATATTTAGTGATCACAGAACTGAGTGTCGCATTAAGTCATCCAACGCTTACTCCCTTTTTTACTTTTAATTTTCTCATGACAACCAAGTCACAGTGAACGGTCATGCAGACGACGTGTGTGAGGTGGGTGAAGAGAAGGTGATCGCCGAGGTTCGAGAAGAAAAATGCGTCGCTTTGACCTCTCATGCGCTTGAAAAGGATTTCGGTGAGTTTTCATAAAATGTACATTACACATCGATTGCCCATCAGTGCCCATGTCATCTGTCTGGGATTGCCTAACCTCCCCCCTCCCCCCCCCCCCCCCCCCCCCCTCCGAGCATTTCTAATCACCTCTCGAGGCGTTTGACTGCGAGTGACTCTGAATTAGGAAGAGGCCTCAGTAAGGGCCCGCTTTCAAATAGTGCTAGATGTTGACTCTGGAGGTGGGACGTTCAATGCTCTTTTTTTGTTGCTTCTCCTTTATCTTTTTCTATTCTTCCTTTTTTGTTTGCTTAATTTGTTAACTTGTTTCTATTGTAAATTTTTAAGTTTTGGAACTCTTTGAGCCAACCGAAAAGTCCTCCAACGGTGTCAAGAGTGCCCCGACGTACACAACAAAGGCTTACCTTGCACTTTCAGACAAAGTAATGGTAAGTGGACTTTAATTTCATTATCAACTTATTTTCGTTTTATGACAAGTTATTTTACCCTCTCAATCCTTCAATTTTGCCGTATTAATTCATCGCACTAATGAATCTCATGACCTGCCCATTTAATGCTAAGAGTGGGGGGGGGGTAGGTGCTGGCGAGAGTTGTTCACTGCTTTGTGAAGTTTACTCCAAAGTTCTCTTTAATAATTTACCGCTTTAGGTTAGAGGTCATGACTTCCTTTTACTTCAAATTTTGAGACTCGATTTGACCTCATTTTGCCTTAAGTAGTTTGCATGCCATTTCCTTTCGTGCAATCTCACTCGCCAGTTCCACTTCAGCATCACTTGGCATTTCTTTTTTGCCACTGGCGTTTTGATTCGCTTTGCATGCAATTTTTCCCTCTTGGCTAATGAATATTTAGGAGCATAGAAGTTCGTTAAATGTTGGCCTCATTTAAACATTTTTGTTTTTTTACTTTGCGTCATTCCATTTCAGACTGCAAATCGCATTGAAGTGACAAGTCAAACAAATGCCACAGCCACGGCAAAAGCTGTTAACACCTCCGTAAACGGTGGAGCATCTGCAGGTGGAATTCGAAACCAGAGAGTTAGAAATTACGCACCCAGAGTTTATAATCAATCAACGAGAGGACCAACTAGCTTTCAAGTTCCCACACAAAAGTTTGTGGATAATAAACGCCAAAAAGACAATTTAAATATGGGGAAAGAGCACCACGAGGTCCCAAAAGACAACGTTCAAAGGAACGCAAAGAACACCCCCTCTGTCTCCTCGAATGCAGCATTAAAGAGCACACTTTCAAGCACTGAAAAGGGGCCAGTAGTTAAGACCGCAGCAAAAGCTACAGGACAAGGCGGAAAACGATTCGAAAAGTCTCTCAAAGAAGACGGAATTGCAGATACCGTCAAATCCACCTCTCACCAGCGTCGTGAAGATGCCAAGCAGCTTCCAAATCGCTTTCAGGAAAAAGCAACGTCTGTAAAATCTGCGAATGCTCCATCACAAGGAATATCAAAGAAAGAGGCTCAAAATAAGAACTCCGTGAGATTGATTTCTTACGACTTTATTCAATTATCCCCTTTTGGGAAAGGCGCATTTGTTAATTTACACGTTTACTAAGGGGCTATGAGCTTTCCCATGTGATATCTGAAAAGGTTTGGAATTCGTTGAAATTAGCTGGTAATAAATCAGTCAAACTGGTTTATAAGCGAAGTGTTCTGCTATCGATGAAAGAGTACTAAATGTGTTTGAGTCAATAAACTTTTAATTATCAATAAATTAGTCAAACGCTAAGAATTCATAATTTTTTTAGACCAATGAGAAAGTGAAACAAAACGAAACGAGAGATGTAAAGAAGGCCTCAAAATCTGCATCGAAGCCTGTTGATGGGGATGCAGCGGCAGCAACAGCAAGAGTCCAGCCGAATAAACACAACACCGAAGAACAATCCTCAACACCTGCTGCCAATGTAGATGAAACAAAATTCACCAAAAAAACGAAAAGAACGTGGAAACGTCGACAACAACGCAAAAGAGCGCGTAAGTTCACTTCTATAGTACTCTTCATTATACTCTAAAGTGTCTTGATTATGTGAGAGGCAGGAATAGTCGGCTCGTTTATTTCAAATGGCAGGCGTTTTGATAGTCATCATTAGCCCTTCACGAAGAGGAACATCGAAGAGAGAAAAATTCGAAAGGGGGGCTAAGGAGATTGATTCACAGTTTGAAAGTGACAGACAGACAGACACGCGAGGGCAGGGAAAAGGTAAGATGAGTACTGTGGAATTTTCAAATATGGCATACAGTCGGGGCATGGCAGTTAGAAGTCAGAAATCAACTGCTGGTTTGATAGACATTTTGGCGCGTGAGTATACGTTGCCCAGGGTGCACCACGAGGAGGTAAGTCTATCGCACACCCTAGAATAGATATTCAGGATATTCCCCTAACTGAACCTTTTATTTCTGAAACTACATATGTGAATTAAAGCATATTTGGGAAGTGAAATTGAAAATGCCAATATTTTAAAGAGACAGATCCGATGAAAATCTTAAGAAATTATTTTCTAATAGGAATGAACAGGTTTGCGAGCAAGAGTGAGACAGAAAAAGAAGAAGAAACTGAGGTGATGGAGGAGGAGGAGGAAGCTGCGGATGTCGTTGATACTCAAGTGAACAAGACGGAGGACTCTGCCCCGAGCAAAGAAGACACCAAAGTCGTTACGAAACCGAGCAAGGCGAAGATACGCCGCGAACGACGCTTACGAGCACGTAAGTTCTCACAGAATCCTAACAGATTCAACAAAATCGGTTCGAAACTACCTTGTCTCTCTGTTGAGTAGTCTAGTCTCATTATTTTCTTTTTTCCTAAAACTATTTTTCTACAGGGTTGAGGAGAAAGGAGGAGGCAGCTGCTGCCAAGGCTTCCAAGGCCCTCAAGAAAAAGGGGAAGACTTCTAAATGTGTGAGTACACTATTCAGCACACCTGTCTAAAACGTTATCCACACGCTCTAACTGACCGGCTTGCTCTTATTTCAGATTCCTGCAGATACCTCGACTTCGAAAGTTGATCACGCTGACGCGACTCCCTCTGAAGGGGTAAATTCGATCACTTAATAACCTCATTTCCATTTTATTGCAATTCCAAACGAAATTTGATTAAAATTAATTATCTACTGTTTTATTTGCTTCGTCATTAGAAACCGAAATCGACTGCAGCCAATGCGTCCAGTAAAGGGCCTGAAATAAGTCAAGTCCAGAAACGAAATCCTGCAGGTGAGTTTTGATTCAAAAGTGAGTCATGTGTCATTGAGAGGGTTGAGAGAGTGGCCATTTTCAATTTCTCGATCAGTAGTCTTGGAACTTTATGAAAGTATTCACCGCTAAAGCATTTTGAGTTTCTAAGCAGAAGGAAAATGGGCATCTAGTGAAGAATTTTTAAATCACATTTCGCGTTTTCCATGTTCTTAGCTCAAAATGTCAAACCAGATAAAAAAGGAAATCCAACAGAAACCCACAATTCGTCCCTCCAGACACCCGGTAAATCCGCGTCAGGACCTAAAGCTGTAAGTCCACATTTAATATGTGCATTTCCTCCTGTAAATCGCAGTGAAGATCACCGGATGCATGTTTGCATTGATCACTTTCAGGATACAACAGCCTCAAAAATCGGCCCTACAAAGCAACCCGCAGCAGTCCAACCTTCGAAGGTTGATGGTAAGGAGCAGTCAACATCATCCACCTCCGCTGTCCCTTGGATTGTTCGAGAAAGGCAACGTAGAAAGGATCTCAGAAGGAAGAGGAATTCGAAGAAATATAAAAGTGTAAGTCACTTAACAAATCACTTGTCATTATTGTCAATTAAATAGGAAGGAAAAGCACAATTTGTTTTTTTCGTTCTCATTTCAGGTCAACGCGTGGTTGGCAAATGGATGGATTCAGCTGGTAAGTGATGCAATCTCCCAAAGAATATTGAAAATAATTGAATCTGAAAAAAATCTTTTATCGCCTCCTTTTTTCCAGGGTATCCTTGTCGCCGCCATCTCTCTCGGGGCCTTTTTTGTCCTCTTTTACTGTTATTAACAGATACTGTGCATGTCTGGAAATAAATTAATGTAAATTAATGTAATAATGTAAAACAAGAAATTTGCCTCTTTCCTTACACCTTTGATGCAACAATTCAATCTAAACTAGTAGTACCTCAATGTGGTCAATGACCAAAATCCAGGTGGATAGATAATTGTCACTACGCCGTTGGTTGGGGTGAGCAGAAAATAGGTGTTGATCAGAAAAGGGCAGATTTATGTTTGTTTCGAAGGCGGATTGTTCTAGTATATCTATCGCAACAAATATTGAGGTCAGTTCAAAAATTCCTATTCTCAAAATAAAAAGGTTTTTTTAAGTTATTAACAATGTTTACTTTGTGGTACTTTAGTGTCTGCCTTCAATTATATTTTCGTCAAATGGCATGCTTTATGATAGTTACCATTAGCACTTTAATTGACTTCGGGCTTCACGGGGAGGAAAACATTAAAATGGGGAAAAGTCGGGACAGGGGGGCGGGGTGGAACAGAAGAGTGGTTCACAGATGTAAATTAGGCTGACACAAAGGTAGGGGTAGTTGCAACGGTAGAGAAAAAGGTAAGATGAGCACTGTGGAGGTTGTCCAATATGACTTACAGTTGGGACATGGTAATTTCGAGCATAAGTGGTGCACCCTGGGCAACGTATACTCATAGGGCAAAAAGTCTATTACCTGGCAGTTGATTTCTGATTCAAGCTACCATGACTCCACTTATGTCATATTTGACTACTTTCACAGTAATCACCTCGTCTTTGAAACACTCTTCTGCCCCCTCCCTTTCGACTTTTCGTCACTTTGATGTTCCTTCTCCTCTGTGAAGCTCGAAGTCAACTAAAGGGCTAATGATAACCATCAAAACGCCTGCCATTTGACATAAATTTTGCTCTTTACAATATTTGGCATTTTTGCACCTTTTTGACCTTAAATATTTATTATATTTTAATAAAGTTATATTTCGACTATTGATTCAATAGTACTTTTGATACAATTTCTTTATGAAATTTCCACTCGTGATCGAATTGTCAATATCAGCTTGAAAACTTTCCCCAACTGCACTAATTTCATGAAATTTACATTTGCCAATGTATTTACCCCTAACCCTAACGTACAATTTTTCCTTATTGAGCTAATTGGGTGTTTATAAGCTAAAAAAGACTTTCTACTTGGAATTTTAAGTAGACAAAATTGCTTGAATCTAAAGCTGCCTACTTAACTTTCAAAAAACGAAATGGTAAATCCGATTTCGGATTTTTTCTAAAAAGGATATATAAGCATAAATTTAACCTATTTTCAAACTCAGAAGGCCTCTACAATTCATTCCAGACTACTATTCCAGTGTTCTGACCTAGAGGACACATTTGAGTGAACTGATAACAATAGAACCTNTATTGCATCCGCATCGTTATGCAACTGCATGTTGAGTAGTTTTTGGACAATACACAACTCGCATGCTAATCATGTTTTAATGCTGTACGCATTGGTTACAAATATGGTGAAAATCAGAGTAAACTCATTGATTACTGGGTTTAATGGCATTTAAAAGATGGGACTATAATAGCTTTTGGATAAGTGGTATCTTCATAAAAAATTCGGCTTGTCAATAAAGAGCTTACAAATAATAAATAACTCCTAAGTGTATATCTAATATTTCAAGTTATTTACTATTTACAAACACATAAATGGGAAATTTAGTGCCCCAAATGGTTCAGTTGAAGTTCTGGCGAGAATCAGACACATCACCTCTTATCTCACTATCCATATTGACAGTTTTGAAGCAGGCGACTTCAGCTCTGTTGATACACATGCTGGTGTATGAGAACCAATTAATGGGGGAGTACAGATCAGATCCTAGAGAAGGAATAGATTAGATTACTCATGTTGCTAGATCTGCACGAAGATGGTCAGAAAAGTCGCCAAGAATGTATTAACAAACAAATAGGGGGAGGGGGGGGGGGTTTGCATGCCAATCACATCTGGTGACGACGATGGTATGAAGCGATTTGTAAATGCACAACTAGACTTCACAGAAAGGCCTTCGTCGAGATCTCCCTATTCGCTGGTGTTGAAACCCGCTCAATTTGACAGTTTCAATTTAACGTCACCTTAACAAATGCGAGTCTGCACTAACTTTCATTTGTTGAAGCAAAAAACTATTCGAATTGGTTAGACGACAAGACATCAAAGCTTGCCAGCTGGTCAAAAATCAATTGGGCTTTCAGACGTCGAGAATTCGCTCAATAAGATAAGGAACGCCTCTTAGAAGTGGAAATTTTTGTATTGAAAAAGGAATGAAGAATCATTAAAAAAGTGCGGCATTATTCTTATAGTTGCTCATTGTGCTGCTGAGGCGCGCTGAGCTCGGCATAATTCTGCCCTCTCGTAGATCATGGTTTCCATTCCAATTGACGCGTACCTGGTGTGAGTGGAATGACCAACCACACGGATTAAGTAGAGAGAGTAATGCGAGTGGCCGAACTCTACTCCCTCGTCATGGAGGCGCCATGATGTCACTCTCTCTCTCCTCAAGATGATCGTTGAAAGATACTTTCCAAAATGGCTTCGTTATCATAGTTTGCACTTTGGTAATCAGACAAGCAGATTGGAGGCAACTTTAGGGAATAAGCTAATAGGAGATCCAGTCATCGCGATTTGAGATAATTGACATCTCCTTTTGCTGTTGTTGCTCTCTCTCCTCATTACTTCGTCCAGAAAATGGCATTCCATGGCCATCTTATTGCAAACTAATCTGTTCTTATCATTCTTCGATTATCTCCCTTTTTCCTCTTCTGCGAGGATCACGTTCAACCGGTGATAGTTCCTCTCTCATTATTAAATAAGTTGTACACAACATTTATCCTCTCCACTAACAGAGAAATGAGTAATGTGGGTTAAAAATTTAACTATTGGCTTAATAACGATGTCGATTGATAGCCATTGGGTCACCATTTAAAGTGAGTAGCAAGTTGTATGATATTCCCATCAAGGGTATACAGAAGATGGCAGAGTTTAACAGCAACTTGCAAACACCTCAAGTAGCTCAAATCAACGCTGTCCACCACAGTCCCGTGTTGAGAGCTTCAAAAATAAGTGAAAAGTGCGCCTTATTTATAGCACGTGGTGGCGATGACAGTTCTGCGCACAGACCGAGTACTTCAAGCCTCACTTTGCCATTTGCGTTTGAGCTAAAATATGCCGCCATTGGAGGGAACCGAATAGAGCGTGACGAGGTAGGGACTTTGTGGTTGTTAAGATAAACCCGATTCGTCTCGTTTCGAACCTCTGACCACTAATTGGCACCTACTATCGCAAGCAATTTCACTGATGAAAGAGATAGTCTCCTCACTGGGAATAAATATTCATTTTGAACCAAGTTGTGCTGCAAAATTTGGCCATTATTTCCTCGTGCTAATTACTTTGAAGCAAACAACGAGAATGTGGAGCACCATAGAACAGGAATCCTCCAGGGTTCCTATTCTTTTAAAGGAAACCTTTCTTGCTATTTTACATAATTGACCCAAATGACGCTTTATTACATAGTCCATGAACTAAGAAAAAATTGCGAAAAGTTTGGAGGTAATTCTTTGCCTCACAAATGTTCTAATAGCGTCTGCACATCCTGTGTGCGGATTGGCCAAGTTCTTCTTAAGCAGAATTTCGGACCAACAAATTTCCCGACATAAAATAAAATTTGCCGACGCTTTTCATGAAAAGCAAATAAGTGCAGGCTCAATCGCAGAAGTTTAATTGATTGGTTTGCAGAGAGGCGAGTCCCGAAATCGCATCAGAAACACCATTCGGGGGGGGGGGGGGGGGGGGGGGGGGGGGGAGGTGGGGTGGGGTGGAAGGAAATAGGCCACTTAACTGTCCTTCGTCTGAGTTTTGTAAAATTAATTCTCTGCGTTTGACCCGACGCGAACTAAAGCTGAAGTCAACTGACAATCATAACAAGTCTATATTTAAGACGTCAATGAGGGCATCTTGCTGGCTCAGTCATCGCTGATAAAATGCTGTCCTTAAAATTATCAAAGTCTTTTCCCCATCTCTCTCTCCCCCTCTCGTTTATGGTCAGCATTAAATGAAAGCCAAATGGATATTACGATTTAATATACCATACTTAGATACTATCTAAGGATATGATCATTAATCAAAGTGGGGAACACTTTTGTCGGGAATGCCAAATGCCAACAGGAAAGAAAAGAGGAAATAGGCATATAGCGAGAAAAATCAAATAAAGCGAAGTGGTCCGCATAACATTACCCACACGTGAATTGGCATTCCTTTTTTCTTATTCTTTGCTTGCATTGCTTCATTGCTCAGCAGAGTTTATCAATTCTACTGAACGTAGAAATGTCCAATTTCGCTCAAAAGTGCATCAGCACTCTTGTTCAAGTGACTCCTACAAACCGTCTCTACATCACCACTCATGACAACACTTGCACACACAGACACGCACGTGTGTCTTTTCATCTGTTCCTACACTTTCTCTCACCTCCTCTACCTCCATCCCACCTCATCCACCCCCTCCCCACTCCCCCCCCCACCCTCCCACCGCTCTCTGACTCACTCAAATCCTTGTGTGCTTTGCCCATGCACTAAGACCAACTCAAATCTTCGCGCTCCCCATTTTGGAACTCTTGCCACTTGCTGTCACCTGCCACCTACACTCCCAATTTATACGATTTCGGCTTCGGGTTCATTAGTTCCTATCAACTATTGACTTCCAAATTGGTGACCTCGGTTCATTTTACACCAACTGTTATATGGGGATTTTTAGACTTGAAGTTCATTGCCGGTGCTAAGAGTGAGAGACAACGCTCTTCTTTGCCAAAATAGCGAGTTATTTATTTGTGCCTGTGTGTGTGTGTGTGTAAGTGCCACGTCAGATCACCAAATCGCCAATGCGTGCCCAAACCTCGCGCCAAGTTTATTAACCAATATGCAAAGCGATCTGACACAAAAATTATTTTGAAGCACTTTATGAAACAATTCACCTCACTGTTCTAGAAGAGTCAAATCTCACAGAAAGCGGTCTAACTGAAAGTTGAAACCAATATTTTCAAAACCACTAGTAAATCAAAAAAATATTCCTCCAACTGAGTTTGTGCCCATGCCTTTCGACTAAAGCTCTTTCTTGCATGCAATTACCAACATTATTAAGGAAAAATCTAACAATATCTTGTCATAATATGACTTTCTCGGAAATGGAGAAAAGGCCATCCTTTGAGTTGCACACAGTCTTCAGTTCACCGTCGAATCTGCCACTACCCAGACTAAAAGCAAAGTAGTAGGGCAAAATGAATGCTCCAATGTGGACTTGAACAGGCCACCGTGGGTTGGTGGCCTCGCGGATTGATGTGGAAGGGGGGCGGGGGAACCGATCGTTTCGATAAGTCAGCGCCAGAGAGGTGAAACCAACGTGGTGGCCTCGAGTCCAATGGAAAGTTTTAATTTGCATGAAAGTGAACTGTGTGGCAACTGGATGTCCATAGGTAATATCTCTACAAAATCTATGCATGAAGTGTTGTCAGGAAGCATAGAATCATTTCAGAATAGCAGCTTAAATTGTGTCAAGATTAGTTCTTCTCATTTATAAACTCAGAGGATCAAGGATCTTCAATCTCGACAAAACTTATGCCTGGTAGGCCTTAAAGCAGATTTACTTAGTTAGTTGTGGGAAAAAGGTTTTTGTTGGTTTAAAATGCGCACAAACTTGTGGTTACCGAGCCATGTGATTTATTTAATGTGACGCACTATACAATGAAGTAATGAAGATCATTAAACTAGGCAAAATTATTACTTTAATCACACCTTATTTCAGTGGTGCGTATTGAATGAGAGTAGTTATTTTTAAGCCATGTTAGGTCGCTGCAATTCAATCAATCCTCTTTTGGAGAAACACTTCCAGTAGTCAGCACCGCCTTCGTCTGGAAAATCAACTGCAATTTCAATCAGTCCAAGGAGGTCCCCCAACTTGTTCCACCCAATCTCCAAAATCCACATGTCAGTGCGTTTTTTGGGCAAGGTAGGGAGCATTTGCAATTTTCCTGGCGAAAAGTGTAGCGGATTGCTACGCTAGTAAAGCCTGACCGACTCAGTTTCTCCAGCATCTAGCTAGACCGACTCAGAAATCTCTATGGCAGTTTCTCCAGCATCTAGCTAAACTCCTAGAACAAGCTAAGCTATAGCCCAGCTATAAAGGGAAACAGACGTGTAGCACGGAGCACGTTTATTCGGTACATATATTGATAGCGAAGTGTGCAATGTTGGCAAAGCGATTAGTTATCAGATAACTCTAGCAATCGTTTGAACATTAATAGCTAAATATTTCTGAGTAGTATTCTATAGCAGGATTTCTATTTGGTCGTTGATGGAGTGTCCCACAAAAGAACCGCAATGAACAATTCGGCAGTTATCACTGATGCCAACGCAGATAGTATGTGTCTGGCTAGTTGTTTTAAAACAGCTTGTGGAGATCGAGATGTCAGTGCTACTTTCTTTCAATACATTTACGATTTCTTTTTTAAACGTGCGCCCTTTGATGGTATTCGAAGTTCAGTAATGCTAGAAGATGAGGAAATCTTCGCCGGTTCGATGATGCCAATTTCGACTTTTTTCTCGCCTAACAGCTGTTTCACATCCATCTGGACTTGCCGCAACCTACTCTGTGCTAGTGCAAATTTAGAGCCACCTTTTTGTGGTAAATCGGTGGCTCTAGGTCATATCGGCCTGCATTTTGTTAGAAGGCCAAATCGAAGCATTTCACCGCAGTCAAGATAACTTGCCCGCTCCATCTCTCGTGCATTGGTCCATCAAATCGATTGGCTGTCCACATTCAAATCTGAATGTGAGACCAACTGTGAATTAGCTGCCTTTAACCCGACGACAAACCGTTTATTGCATATCCAAATAAAATAAAACAAAAATAAAAACAGAAGCTTGAACGAGTACTCGTCTCCTTTAATCCTTCTTAAGCCTAAGTAACAGATGCTATGATATCTTCTGCGAGGCCATGACCATCTTCTTCAACCCCCCCCCCACTTGTAATTTATATCAAAAACCTCTTCCCTTCCACCACTTGAATGGCATGTGAACCGTATCGTTCACTCCAGGTAAGCAAATCATTTCATTTTCGTTTGTTACTTTTACGGGGCTCGCGTGTGTGTCGATGCCTGAATGTAAACAAGTGAGAAGTGTTCTGGTGTCATGGCAGCTTGTAGCGTGTGAAGTTTATGCCGAGTGACGCAGTGATGTATCTGCTGTCACATTAACCCCGGAGAAAATCCATGGAGTCCTTTCATTAAGAAAAAGTTATATGCACAATTGTGTTTAATTGTTCCCAATAAATAAGTGATGGGCTATGTCATCCATTGCGCCAGAAGGAGGCATTTCAGAAACCAATTAATTAGCGCCTCCTAGGAGCAAAATAACTCCAAATATGACGAATCACCCATGGGACATTCCAATTTTGTAGAGAATCAAAATTAAAGGTCTTAATGAATTGGCAGAGCTTTCCACCTCCAGTTAAATATGCCAAACTTAAAGTAGCGCTATTTATAACGCCTCAACTGCAGTTATCAGCTCGTGAAATGGAGATATAATACCACTAGGCACCAAAACTCTTCGGGATAATACAGCAGGCAACTTTAAATTGGCGAAAAATTATTCATCCTTGGCATTTAATGATCAACCTTAGATACTGTTCACTCGCTGTTCTATTTTCGGAGGTAAAATAAGCAAGAGGAATCGTTTAAGTGAACCCTATTACCGTTGAATCATTAAGTTGAAATCGTGAGCCAACCACAGAGCTGAAGTATGGGAGATCTGTTGGTGGTGGAATGATAAACTTACTTACGTAGAAATTCAGAAGTTACACAACCCGGTTTTCATCAATGCGCCTTCAGTGAGTAGAATGGGTAATCGTTGTCGCCCAGTTTGGGATGGGGGTGACTTAGGGTAACACCACCCGCCTGCCAAATTAGAGGATTTAAACTATTCTTTCCCAAATGGATCTGGGAGTCATATTTGCTATAATCACTTCATGTCAAAAGGCGAGAATTAGTTTGGAAGGCGTCGCACACGACACCATACCAGACCTCATCTCGCTGTGCCAAGTTATATGAATTACGCGAATCGTGAAGTGAGCGACAGGGGAAGTGACCTACAAATGCCACGTCGGTAGGATGTGTGTGCAGATGCACACTGGACGCTGCCAGTTCATTGGTTGTTTAGTCGAAAAGTAGAGCGCATCGCTTAGTCATTCACACTGAACCAAGAATTCTGCGAGTCGGTCAGTGATAATATTTTCAAAAGGAAATCCTTTAGTCTCCCCATTCAATCGCTCCAAAAACGGTGCCATCGAAAGACCATTCGATTATACTTAACAAATCCTTAATACGTCATGGTTAAAGTTAATTATTTTTGAACTTTCACTGCCAGCTTCCCTTGAACCAACTCAGTGAAATTACAAAATCATGACACGAACAAAACAAACTATTATCTCATTCTTTGATTAGCACCGATTTCATTCTTGAATTAAAGAAAATTTCTAAAGCCGGAACCTTTCTACGTTAGAAGTAGGTCACAAAATGGTCATTTTGAATATTGATAATTTATTAGAAAATAGGATCCGTTCTCCGCCTTACTCAAATCGTCAACGCGATGCTTTGCGAAGGCTGTTGGGGGGTGGAGGGGCGGGGCGGGGGCGTTGGGACTAAGAGCAGCTGTAAGCACAAAGTCAACGCACATCGACGCGCATTTGGGCCCCGAAAGAAAGGGTGTCAAACTAGAAGTGGAGTTGAGGGTTCAAACGCATTTACCGGCGCCAAACGAATCGTTTAAGTAAATGAAGTTGTGGTGGTGCAACGAATTCTCTCTACGCGACCCCCCGGGTTGGCCTCTTAATCGCATGCTACTTTAAACCATCAAGCAGACTGATATGGGGGGGCAGGGAGTGGACTGGCACATTTTATCAAAATTCAGGCCAATTCGAAAACCATGACTCATTATACTAAACCGTGTTGCCAAACCAAACCCTCCCCCCCCCCACCCTCCAACGGCTACGCAAAGAAGATCAGCGTCCGACATTAACCAGATTTACTTTCTCGATTCAAGAAAATCTTGACCCACTCAAAGAAATGGAAGAAGAGCAAAGAACCGAGAAAAGGGGGGGGGGAGGAGGAGAAAGAGGATGAAAAAAGAAGGAACGAATAATGAATTGACAATAATATTTACATGTCTGCAGTCGATAGTTAAGGGGTAGAGGAGGGAGAAACGATGGAAGAATTAGGAGGAGTTTACTGCTTGCTCTCCTTCTCCAGGCTTTTTTGAAGACATTGAAGCTCTTCTCGTGTATTAACCAAAGTGTTCTTCAATTCGAAATTTGCATCCTCCAGCACAACACAATTCTGACAACCAGCAGGGACATCATTTTCAAGGACAACTTCCTGGCCTTTTGGTTCCTTAACCTTTGCTAGTTCCTCTTGAATAGACATCAACTCCGATGACTTTTGATCCAAAGCCTCTTTGATTTGATCAAATTCCGCCTGCTTGGCAACAACCTCGGCCCTAGCAACGGAGAGTTCCTCTGTCCTGGCCGAAAGATCCGACTCCAAGGCAGTGATTTTACCCTTCATGTGCTCAATTGTTTCACCGCCGGTGCATATTTCTTTTTCGGCCATTTGATGGGCAAGGGAGACTGTCTCCAATTTAACTTTGGTGGTCTCCAGCTCAGTCAGAAGGTGGGAGCACTCGTCCTTAGTTTGAGCTAATTCATTCTAAGGAGGAGAAGGCAAAAATGGAATGAAAGGGCGAAGCCGAAAAAAAACAGGCAAGAAATAATGACATACTTCTTTCACGGTCAATTCGTGCTTAAACCAGGACATCTCGGAGGTGACTTTCTCCGCTGTCTTTGTTAATTCGTCTTTCGCCAACAGCAGAGTCTCCTTCTCAGCAATCAAATTCTTTAGCGACACTTCCAACTCCACCAATCGGGTCATTGAGGCCTAATGTGTGTGTGTGTGCAAAAAAGAGAGAAATAAATACTACAAAAGTCTGGTAATAAGGGCTACTCTGTCAGCGAGTGAACAACAGACAAACCTGTTCGGATTGTTTAAGGTGACTGACTGTGTCTTCCAAGGACTCCAGTTGAGCTTGGAGGGCCTAAAAGTGAGGAATTGTTATTAAAGGCAAGTAGAAACAAGAAGGCATCGTGTAAAAGTGACACCAACTCCATTTTGTGCCGATTTTGCGATTAATTGAGCGTCTTTTTCGGCAATCTCATCTCGAAGTTTCTTGATAAGAGCATCAGACTCTTTCTTTACTAGTTCTTTAGTTTCTTTCGCGGTCTTTGTCCTAATTTTTTTGCATTCCACTTCGAGTCTGGCACACTCCTTTTTCAATTCCTCAACGTCCCTGTTCGCTATCTGCAAAAATCAATAATGCTGTCAAAGAAGGCAAAGTAAAAGAGCACTTTAGAATTAGAACAAAACATGAAGTTGGCACGCATGCGCGGCTTAAAACGTGTGAAGACATATACACTCTAGATAGATAGACAAATTATCACACGTCACTGACGTCAAAGCAATGCGAAATGATGGCAGGAGAGTACACACAATGATACGTGTTGTAACATCGAAATTTCAAGCCTAATTTGCTGTCAGTACGAAATTCGAGATTAGGATGGCGATGACATTTTTGACGAGTTATTGAGTCGATGAAGATATTCAATTAATAATGCTACAGAAAGCATGCATAGTCACTTGCTGAAAGTATAACTCACGTCGCAGCGCTGCTTGAAGCGGGTACTTTCATCGGAGAGGAGAAGGATTTGATTGAGGAGACTCTTTTCGATGGTCGCTTGTGTTGAGGAGTGAGGTGGTGCAGGAGGAGATGCAGGGACTTGCTGAGGAGCTTCAAAGTTCTCACATTGGGTGTACTTTGATGCCACTTCTTTAGGTTTCTTTATACACGCACTAAAATGGAGATACAAAATATGTTTCAACAGAATAAAAAACAAAATGAATGCGCTGATGAGAACAACTCACGATTTCTTTTCTTCAATAAAGGGCAGTTTTGACACTGGTTGACGCTGGTTTTCCAACATATTCTTGTAAAACTAGAAAAAAAACAGTAAAAGAAGTACATCGTTCAAAAATAGCGGCTCTGATGAATTGGAGAGCTTACAAAAACCTCGCTTTGTTTGGCAAGTAGTAAGGCCTTAAAGTTGGCGATTTCCGATTTTGTTGGATTCTAGTTGGCGAGAGAGAGTAAACATTGAGTAAAGAAAAAAAATTGAAAAACAAAAAAGGCTATATCTCACTTCGGAGATTTCGGGGATTTGATAGGAGGATGAGGAGGAATCGGGCACCGGGTGGGAGAAATTGAGGTTTGGATGAGCGGCGCGGACAGCTTCAACGGCGGCGCTGTCACAGCTAACAGCGAGAGAATGCTCCAAATGTCGCACATAGTCGAACAAAACAGACGCATCCTTAGTCGCGGGAGATGTTCGTTTCGACTGCTGCTTCGTCAATGAAGCAGCAGAAACAGGCGTTTCTTCAGCAGTAGGCATTAGTTTCACAGGCTCACTCTGCTTCTCTTGTTGTGCAGGAGCAGGTTTCAATGGTGGAGCAACTTTCTCCCTATTAACAGTCTTATTTACAGTTGTCCTAATTTCGTATTTTTCTGGTTGCTCGGCTGGAAATAAGCGAGAAAAACATGTTAATTAGCTTTAATAATAAAATAGCACAACGAATTCCTAAAAAAGACGAATGAATTAACTTACGACCATTATTATTAGATTTTTTCAGCTTTTGGGGAACAGAGGCAGGAAGTGAGATTGCAGGAGCGCCATTTAAAGATGCAGAAGCTGAAGACCCGTTCAATATCTCTCCATTCACCTTTGCTCTAGGCTTTTTCGGCTTAGACTGAGATTGCCAATCATCAAAGTTGTCGTCCACATGAAACGTAGTTTCAAGCGATACTTGATGGTTAGTATCACCCGATACCTTTGGTTTGTTGTTTTTCTTTTTATGATTCTTCTTTTTGGGTTTCGAAGAGATCGGATTTCCAGAGATGACGGTCTCTCCCATAGAGATAAGAGACTGACCCAATGCAGTAAATCCTTTAGTTGACATATTTATCTACATTTGAGGTAAACCGAATGGGAAGAAAGTTAGTACGGAATTAAATAAATTCAAATGAAACCAAAAAGCATATTTTCTGAACCGATAAAAAGTCACGAATAACCAGTAGATAAAAGGTGGAATTGAAAAAGGAACAAACTCAAGGATCCACGTTACGTTCAGAGGAATGGCAAGAGCGTCACAACTTACCCCAATTCTATACTTATGATTGGACACTCTTTCTGCGTCCAAGACAAACACTCTATTAAAACAGCGTTGACCTATTTTTCATCTACTTTTACATAAAATTGAATTAATAAAATTTTTCCTTAATATGATTGAAAAAATATAAATCAACGGTTAGTCTGATATAATCTTTATTTTTTGGTTTCAAATTATTGCCACATATCATGCTGATTGTGTTAGAAATAAAATAGAAAAGCCTCAACTGTTTATTTGAATTCACAAAGTACACTTTCCATTTTTTAATACGCAATTAAAAGTCCAAATTTGTAAAGCATGCCACATTTTGTAGTACTCCAAATGCTAAAAATAATATTTGTTATTATGTTAGATAAGATAGTGCAAAAATGTTTTATTCAGATTAATTGATTTACTTGATTCTAAATTTCCTTTTATCGACTTGTCCCTCTTCATTATATGCTATAGGTCCAAAATTTCTCTGACCGTTTAATTATTTTTCTGCAATCTCTTATAAGGAACAGGTTTTCCTTCATTGAAAAAACATAAGCCACTAAATTTTTATGCTAAACTTTGTTCTCTATATGGCAGGATCATGAAACGTGATCAATGCTTCTAAGCAAGCACGTATTTCAACGAAATACTTTCAGAGCTATTCTACATTTCTGAAGATCTGCACCCACACGACAGCAATATTATCTTTCTCACATTTTTCGAACCCTTTAACTCAAGTTTCTAAGACTCGAATCTTATCATTGGTTTTCTGCCATTCATACTTTTGTTTTAAAAATTAAGATACACCACGTATCTTAAAAACTAAGTTTCTAACGTGATCACTTTCTTTACATGATTTATGACTCAAAAATTTATTCAAATACATTGAAGCTTTCATGTTCACTTATAGAATACAAGATCAATGCTTAATAAAATTAATACCATTAAATTAAACCACTCCTCACTCTTTGAATTCTTAGAACTTGTGAACTTTCAGCTAATTTTGAAAGTAAATATTAAGTTGGCAACTAAGTCATTGCCGAAGGCAAATTCGGAATTTTTGTTTAAAAATTTAACTTTATTCAATTAGATATTAGCCGTTCTGGTCGATGACCTTTTTCCATCGTTCTGGCAGAGTAAAAATTCCCCGTTCGTAAAATGTCTGGTCTTTGCTGTTAAAAAACTGAATTAGGTGTGATCCGACATCATCCGCGTTGTTAACAATTTTACCATTTAAAGAGTTTTGCATGGAACGAAACAAATGGTAATCCGAAGGTGCAAGGTCAGGGCTATATGGTGGGTGTGACAAAACATCCCAACCCAGTTCCAATAGTTTTTGTCGAGTAACCAAAGATGTGTGGGGCCTTGCGTTATCAAAGATATGTGGAAAACAACACCCTTCCGCCGATTTGATAATGCCGGCCGCTTATCTTCAATCGCATCCTTCAGTTTTTCGAGTTCTTCAACATACACATTTGAATTTATCGTTTGGTTCTGCGGCATGAGTTCAAAATACAAAATTCCTTTGTGATCCCCCCACCACACTGACAGCATAATCTTTTTTGGTGAATCTCTGCTGCTTTTGATACTGTTTGGGCTGGTTGATCTTGCTTCACCCATGATCTCTTGCGAGTAACATTGTTATAAACTATCCACTTTTCGTCGCCAGTAACTAGGTTCTTCAGAAATGGATCATTCTCATTGTGTTTCAGTAGCGGCGAATCACAGATGCTAATCCGTTGCGTCAAATGAATTTCATTTAACTGGTGAGGGATCCATAAACCAAGTTTCTTGACATAACCAAGGGTTTTTAATTTTTTTTTCAATGCATGTATGCGACACATTGAGCAGCTTCTCTGCAATATCTCGTGTTGTGCTGTGACGATTTGAATCGACGATAATGGCCTTGATATGCGTTTCATCCACTTCGACTGGGCGTCCAGATCGTTGTGAATTTTCAGTGAAAAATCACCAGAACGAAATCTTTCAAACCAATTTCTACACTGCCTTTCTTTTAAGGCTTCATCTCCATATACGGCACATAACTTCTTTTGTGCTTGCGATGCGTTCTTGCCTTTTCGGAAGTAATACAATAAAATGTGTCGGAAGTGCACGTCCTGTTCTTTCATTTTTAAATTGGGATAAAAACAAAACTAAAGAACTAAACAAAAAAATATTTTTTACTAATTAACCTAGAAGCCCATACAGTAAGAAAAAAATATAGGTTAGATGCTCTGGCCACGTTAACAAAACAAAAGAAAGTATAGAGTGAATCTGTCAACAAAAACGGCAATGACTTAGGTGCCAACCCAATATAATCAAAATTGTGAATTTTGGAGAACTAATCTTGTTTATTGTCAAAAAATCTACGAGCATGTTGAAGAGTAGTTCCAAATCCGATTATTAATGTCTTACAAATATAAATGAAAATAAAAACGCGAGGAAAATGAATGAAATAAGAACCGTTGGAATCTAATTTTTGTACCCATTTATGTTTATGTTTTCAAATTGCCTTTCTCAGTAGGGTCTCATTATCATTTCAATTTACTAATAACATAAATATCGAGCTATTAACATCGCAAAATAGAACATTAATATACATATACATACATACATATATATATATATATACATATATATCAAGCACATTCTCAAAATTTAAATACTCTTATTGGAAAAATTTTTATTCTATGAACTAAATAGAATTTAAGTCTACTTTTATTTGAGATTGGAACGATTCCAATTTTTATATAAATTTACACTCTTAATATCTATAGTTTCTGACGTACCAACATATCATAAAGTAAAACAGTAGAATAATGCAAAATCACTTAAAGTTATTCAAACTTTTCTGTACATAAATATTTTGGATGTATTTAATCAGCGTTTTAACTAATCGATTTAATTTACTAGACTCTGCATAATACACACGCATATTTATGAAGATATTGAGGTAGGAATGAAAATTTTTGTAAGTTACTTAATAATAAAAACCGATACATGTACTGATTATTACTTAAATAGACTCTTGAAATTATTCTAGGTTTACAGATTTTATTTTAGAAAATTTTGCTTGAAATAATGTCTTCTAACGGAACAAATAGTAGCACACCCCGACACACTCCAAGTTCTGGTAGTGAAGAAGAAACAGTTACCCAAGAAGTTCAGGAAGAAAATGTTGTTATTACGCTTCCAAGTGCTCTTCCACAGCATTCAGAACCATTAAGTCTTCTGGCAGAAACCCAGCGACTACAACGTGAAATGCTTCGGGTTGAGATGGTACGTCTAAAGTGTGACCAGATTTATACTTTTTTGTTATTCTATATCATTCTCTGAGATATTGCTTTCTTTTAAATGAATACGTAGCTTCCTAATACTTGGTTTCTATATATAGTCATATATATTATTTAAATTTATTTGTAACTTACTTATCAAATCCTACATAGTTATAAATCCGCGTGAAATGAAAACTATTACAAGCAGATGAAACGCGAGAATGCCCTTGATTGCATAACTGCATTTAGATATCTAAGAAAGATATTGTATCGTTAGATAGAAAATAGTTCGGAATTGAGTCATAAAGCTTTAGAAGATGTGGATCTTGAACAGTTTGGGTACATAAAGAGATATAAATGTGCAGATAATGTCTCGTACTAGGTTGAATTGTCACCACTGAAAAATGCTTCGCATCACTACCACCATTTGAGCACATTTTTAGCTCAAAACTTTAATGAGTTAGTCGTAAAATTCCTCCTGGATTTACTTCTTTTTTGCCTTAAAAATTCAAAATAATTATATATATATATATATATATATATATTATCGTGCAATGATTTAACAAATAAGTAAATATATCTAATACATTTTAGAGCAGTCAAGATTACTTTAATGGTCTTAATATTAAAATAATTATTATTAGTATGTATTATCCATAGCATGTGCTGGGTAGGTTAAGTATAGAGTTAATTCAATTTTTCTACAGGTGCATTATCAATTAGAAAAAAATGCTATTGATTTAGTAGAAGCAAGAAGGCGAGGAGTGAAGACCTATAAGAAAGGTAGACAGAGAGAGAGAGAGAGAGAGACAGGGTGTGGGGAGAGAGTGGTGAGTGGAGTGCTCAAAATGCAGCATCAGCATCAGCGTCGGCAGCAACAGTCGGGAAAGAGGCTGTTGCAGAGTAGTATCCGGATGAAGGTTAAACTGGGCCGGGAGCAGAAACGGGAGGTGCTGTAGTAGTTGCTTGGAGCGAGTTGGTAGGCGTGGCTTCTAGCTATGGAAATAGGATGGCTATGCGTTTCCTGAATGTGTGTTGCTTACATTTTTACCTCTCCTTTTAACTTTCTCAGTTTTGCTTTGCTTTCACACACACCACCTTGGCATTTCCTGACAAGATGCATTTCCTTGCTCTCATTAACATCCAATTTCGAAACCACGTTTGCCATTTACTGTTGGTGACTTCTCAATTAGTGATATGAGCGAGGCCTTTGCAGACAACGCCAATTGACTCCAAGCTTGATGTTTGCTTCGGCACATTCGAGGCGCGAATGGGATCATGGAGGCAAATTTATTTTTCGCCTCCAGAAAAAGGAGAAGTGCACTTCCTATTGGCGCGAAATTGCATTTTCAAAGCAATTTGGAGTCCTCCATGTATCATTGATATAACATTATTTTTAAAAGAGATGCTTGTCTAAAGAAATCGTTGAGCTGCGTAATTATTTTTAATAATTTATACTTTCCAAAAATTATGTTACCACTGGTGTTTGAAATTATAAATAATTAATCAATAATGCAAATATTGTCTTTCAAAAGTTTAGCCCTTAGCAATTCAATGATGTTAAGGTTTAGAAAATAGTTTTTTTACAAAGTAAATTCAACAAATGATGAAATCGAATTCAAAATTTTTCAAAGTAACACTCAGTAACGCGTCAACTTAAGGGTCTGTTCTGTCTCTCGTGCATTACGCATCTACTGACCCACACCACAGCCGAAATTGCTCATAAATGAGAAGAGGAAGGTAAATTAGTCAATCGATTGTATTTTCTTATTTCGTCTGGTTCTGACAACCCGGGTTTCCTCGCTCAGTACTGACACTTTACCCTTCAATCCCACTCCCCCCCCCCTATCCCCTTCACTTTTGTTCGCCAATTAACCCCCCCCCCTGATTCTACTTAATTATTCTCGCTTATTAAGGTCTTTTGAAGACTGCGAATGTTATTTTTATTTAAGTAAATACAGGATGAACTTCTGGACACAGCAACTATGCAGACTCGAGGAAAGGGAAAAGAGAACACCTCGAAATTTTCCTTAATAACGAAATTTATCTGCCTACTTAAGCTTGAATAAGTGATAAATGATTGGCTGAGTGGTAAACTAATAATAATTACGGCGAATTTTCCACAGGTGTGAGCGCAGGAAGCTGATCCAATCAGGGATCCAGTGTATGTGAAGTGCAGATGACAAGTTTCAATCGAGTGCAACGATAACATCCCACTTGGCGTCCTAATAAAATCGAATTCGCTCTTTTAAGGGAGGTCTTCTGAGAATAAAGTTGGGAGATTTCGAAGATTCTGAATTTTCTTTAAATCTTAAAATCTTCCTTAGATTTGAAATTCTAACCTTCCATTCTTTCTCATTTTTTCTTCTTTCAATGCTGAAGTTCCAGTGAAACATGGGCCTTTTTTGGTATTTCTCTGCTTAACTATCAGGTGCACTTCGTTTAATGTTGTTTAAATTTATCAGTTGGAGTTGCTTCAATTGCCCTTTTGATGATAGAAATTCCTTCTTGAGAAGTTTGTAACTGAGCAGGTCAAAAAATTAAGTATAAAGAATTTTTGAGAGACAACTTTGAAAGTTGCATATTTTTTATCGAAATATTAAGGGGGAAGTAGGTGGTGCAGAGCTCGGTTCAATGGGGGAGGCGACGGTGGCTGTTCGCTCGGAGATTTCTCCCTTAGGTGGATCCGAAAGTCTGGCCTTAATGGCATCACCTACCAGATCTCGTATTCAGCTGCTGGAAGCCGAACTCCTGGACAGCAAACGTCGCGCCGCTTCTCTCCACGAAAGCAATCAACGTCACCAGAAAATCATCCAAACCCTCCAATCTCAGGCAAGTCGCTCTCTTTTCTTGCCAATTTTATCCAAATTTACACCGTAATAGCACTTTGGAGTTATGCGGACGATATATTTATGTAGGGACTTTGAAGAATTCGTCATCTCAACTAGTTGTGTCTTGACTCTTGCCGTTGGTGGGTGCTTGTACGGAAATGCAGTGGTATTGGTGCCCTTGTTCAGAGTTGGGATCACCAGAAACTTATGTCAGGTTAGAGCAAAGAAAAGTAGAATTTAGTTTTTGACAGGACATACCAACATTGTCTGTCTTAGAACTGCTTGCTGTCTCTAAAACGGTGCCTCTTGCACCTCTCTATTTTTGATTATTAGTTTAAGGTAGCTGTTTATGAAGTGTGAAGAGTGATTTTCACAGAAGCTCAATCCATTTCTGATATAGACTTCTTGATGTAGTCAAGAATGGCTAACTTGAAGTGGTTAAAGAATTGACAACAGTTTTTCCACGACTTGTAACACGAGCTCTACGACTTCTGGGGTTAGAGGAAAGAAGTGACGGAGCAGTGAGCTTCTTGATCAGTTCGTTCATCTTAAAGGTGGTCGAAAAATCAGAAACAAAACTTTTCATCAAGGTGGTATTCTGGCGTATTATATACGATTACAGTCGTTCGAGGTGCTCGGAAGATCGTGTATTCTTTACTGTCACCAGCCTTATGACTGAACGAAGACCATCAGGCGTTTCAAGTAAGAATGCCAATGTGCAAGGTTGCTATTTTTCGGGCGGAGGAGGAGAGGAGCTAAAGCTCTCAGAGCTTCTGAGGTTGTCTCATTAATAATGGATTTCCCATTTCACCAGTCTTTGCTTTACTAAAATCTTGGCACGCTTGGGAAGGCGCTGTAGAGTGCCACCTCACATCCACCGCTAGTGGGCGTTACCAGGCGGCGGTTACAGCTATACCGATGCTCATTATCAGTCCGTTTATTTGACCCCTTCCCTTCAAAGCACCTGACTCATCTCAATTAACCCCCCTCCCTTCCTCACCTCATCTCACCTCCCCCACCCGTTCTCTTCACTTCAGCTTACGCAGTCAAAACGCAAGAACACCGACCTGGAAATGGAGATTGAGGATTTAAAAATAAAGCTACAAAAGAACACGAAGAAGGTGAGTTGCTAGTGAAAGCTGCGCCATTACTAGCGTTCAATTACTCGCAGCTATTGCCCTTTTTGGACATTCTTCTTTTTGTAGCTGCACTCGAAGGAGTTGGAGCAGGAGAGTCGGTTGGACGCGCGGGAGAATGTGGCCAAAATGCGCGAGGAGAGCTTGATTGCTGAGTTGGAGAATTTGACGGACGCACTTGAGGCGGAACGGGCAAAGTAAGGCGCGTTGTATTCTTCTAGGAATAAACCACTCACTTTAGGTCAGCAGAGCTTTCAAAATCAAATGAAATTCTTCAGGAGCAAATTGAAGAAGCTGCTTCCGCCAACCAGGTACAAACTCCTCTATTCACCCCCTCCCTGTCTTGCTTTGTTTCTCCCTCCATTCCCGCTTATAGCGACGATTTTTATCTCAATGCAGGGTCTGAGCCGCGATGTAGCGCAGTTGACCCAGGCCTGGAGGGGTGCAACTCAGGCGCTCGAGAAATTGGAGTCGGAGTGGCAGTCGGAGGAGAGCGCATTCAATGAGTACTTCTCGGCTGAACATAATCGTCTCCTCGCTCTCTGGCGCGAAGTGGTGGCTCTTCGACGAGCGTTCGCAGAACTTCGGCATCAAACAGCGCGGGATTTCACTCAGGCATGTTGGTGCAACTTCTGCAATTCATTAGATAACTTATTTGGCCGCGCGATAAAATTGGTCTTCTAACCGATTAAATTCTGCTTATGTCAAAATTGTAAATAGGTCATCCAATCTTTCCAATCACGGCCAGTCATGGTAATGATTTTAAAGTGAGATATTCAGAAAATTAACACTATATTTCAAATGGCAGGGAATCGTTAATTGGGGGTAATAGTATCTTCTGTCAACTTAAAAATACCAATCTTTGCCTAAAATTTGCGTCAAGGAAAAGAATGTTGAAAGCCTTTTTAATATCTTCTTTCTGGAGGATTTATTCGCTTTCAAAATGACTACTTTTTGTATTATCGTTTAGAAATGTTTAATTAAGAAAAAACTTTGATTGATTGAATAGGAAATGCGCTTCAATGGGTCTCTTTCATGTAGGAAAATATGCCAAATGGCCTTCGCTATAATTTCTCTGATTTTCGCCTTATTTTGGATTGTAGATTAGTTTTTTCCCAAAAATATCTTAATTTGCTTTTTTTATGTTCCAAGATTCTCTGAAGGGTTCCGGTTGGTTGTCGAAAACTCGAGTGAGATGGAATAAAGCCAGCGAAACTTGTACACAACAGTCAGCTCATAATTAATGAGTCTGGGTCACAATCAGAATTTTTGGAAATAAAGAGGCAATGACCGTATTTCTACCACGCTGATCAAAGAATTGTTGTTGATTAAGTGGCCGAATGGAAGCTCATCCCCTCGGTCGAAATTGAATAGGCTCCGGAGTTGATTTGAAGTCGTTTTAACTAAAAATTCGTCAATTAAACTGGTTGTTGGTTCAACTATTACAACATTGAGGTTGGATTGGCCAGACTTCTTAACACGAGTTACTCATATTTGACCGACAATATTAGCATTTCTTTGTCTTAAGAGAGAATGGTATTAAGCTTTAATTTGAAATTAGTTGAACAAGATAATCGATGCGCCATCTCCTAAACAGTTTTCTTAAGATTCTGTCTCTTCCATCTCAAAATCTACTTTCACTGAAAATCTCTCAACCTCTTAATCGATGAATGTCGTTTTGAGGCAACGTATTACTTTGCTGTGGCGCCAAATTGCATTAATTGCTCCTTAAAGAATTCAGAGATGCCGTTTTCTTCAGGCACAAGTTAAATATCTGTTTCAGATCAACACATTTTAAAATTCGCCATTCCACCTTTATGATAGTTCAGAGAAGAGATAATGGTTGAATGTTTCATCTGATTTCGGGTGAAATTACAGATATCGCATTCATTAGCTTACGCATTTTTCGGCAAGATTGTGGGTAATAGAGAAATGCTTTATACCAAGAAGTCGGTTCTTTCAGCTTATTGTTATTAATGGGAAGTAGAGCTCTCAGTTGTTAGGGCTACGATGTGAGTCCAAGTTTATGAGATCGATTTACTGCTTAGGTCTGAGCAAAATATGGAATTTAAAACGCAGAATTGTCAGTCTGGGAACGCCAAGACCATCATTTTTGCACGAGGTGAAGGCTGTAAAACTTTATTCACTAATTGGGTTATGCTAACTTCATTCTAATTTCCTTCGGATTAATCCAAATGCTACTTTATTACTAACAGTAGCATGTTAATCACGTTAGCGAAAATGCGAAATTCTGAGGAAATCGAAGATATGGTCAGTTGGATAAAATTCATGTTCGCATCACTATAGATGAACAGTGAAATAACGCGAATGGGTCAATCGTTGGTTTCGAGTTGCTGCGCTCTGGCGAACAATCTGCGAGCAGCTGAACTAGAGTCAGCTGACGCATTGGCAAAGAGTCGACGTGAACTTCAGGCCGAAGAGGAGAGCGCGAAAGCGCGGAATCAGTCCCTCTCGGAAGCCCTTGCGCGCTCTCAGGCCCGTCTAGTTGATGCCGAATCCAAAGCACACGAGCTCAGTCGCCGAGTTCAGGACCTCCTCTCAGAGGTTAGAACAAAACCAATACCTACTGCCATGTTTCCATTAAATCCCTACTTCCAGCCGTTGCTATCTTTTAGATTTCAGACAAGGACCGCGTGCTGAACACACTGAGACGTCTGCGAGCGACATTTCCTTCGTCGAAGCGGGAAGAGGTGGAGACGATTAGGAAGGGGCAAAGCGATGGGGAAATCGAAGACCCCATCACTGTCACCAAGTGTCTCATTGAGCAGACACATGCTATGCATCAGGCACTCTCTCAGATTGCTCAGGTATTGTTTTCGCATTCATTTAACACACATTGGCGTCAATGGGTCGCTTCTGAATCATATTGGTAAATAATATGAGGCGGTACATTGATTATAATTTATGTGGTCGACTGAAACAACCGAACATTATGCCTGCAAAAAGGTAGAGGTTGAACTTAGCCAGCTATTTCTGTTTATCAATTTGAGAAGGTGTGAGGGAGCTCAAAATTCGAGCATCTAATCAATAAGACTTAAATCGTCTGCTTATCTGAAGTTTGGCATATATCAGAAAAATTCTTGCCAAATATGTGAAAACTGATATTCGACGAAATGTAAAAATAAATGACATTAAAGTCTTTTAAATGCCCTGGGGGGGGGGGGATTACTCATTCCCATGCCACTCCCTTATGGCAGCTTATTTTGACTCCCTCATCACTAAATTTGGTTGACGCTTAAAAATTAAAGAGCTCTGTTGGCAAAGTTGATTAATTTCTGTTATGCCAAGTCTCCTAAGAGGTCACCAGCTGTGAAATCATTTCGGTGCATATGACCTTAGAGATGCACCTGTGATGAGTGGGTCAGACTGTGCATAAATCAATATTGAATTGAATTGCGTGCCTTTCAAAGCAAAAATAAGCAGATTTCATGAATAACCGACACAATATTATTGGCTTATTTTTCCCAGGAAGAATCATTCTTTTCTATCTAACACAAACCCAACGAATTTCGCTTGAATCTCTTGCGTGGTTTGGTAGTGAAGGTTCTGGCTGTAGCAAACTTAATCGGTATTACCTCAGACTTCTTTGAATAGGAATCAATCATGATTAGATGGGAGGTGGGCCGGATCGAGAACAATGTGAGACCAAGTGACATTCGTTTGGGAGTACATAAATTTCTAATGATAATCAGACGCTACATCGGCTTCGTTTTATTCAATTAACTCGTTAAGATTTAATTAGATTTTAAAGTTAGTCTGGCAAAGACAGACATCATTAATGAGTATTCATTTTTCACGAGCACCGATGGCTTGGAATAGCAACCATGCAGTGTTTAGCTCCTATACAGTTACACTGACCAGGGCATATGGAAAACTTGCTCCCGATAAAAGATTCAGAAGTTTTTGAGTTGGCGAATATCTTTAATCTTTTCTATGTACACTTTGCTTGACACATTTAATTTACTTGGTAATCTGCACCAATTGTTGTTTTGACATGGTGATCTGAGAGAAATTACGACTTTGGTCATTCTAGATTCAACAGTGTGCGTGAAATCGATTACTTTTGCATCGACTCCGATTGATGGGACCGATTGATTACACCATTGGCCACCTAAACCAGAGGTACACTATGACGTTTCTTGGGAGTTACAATCAATGCCATTTCATCCCTAAATGGGGCGCACAAAACGCGGAGTTGATTTAAGTATCAAATGATCGATAAAAACAAAAATGCAATGGTAGCATGATGGTAGATAGGTGGCCACCATCATGTGAATGAATGAGTTACCTTCCTGAGAATTGTTTGTATATCTAGACGGTGTTGTCGGACACGACGAACGCAGATTTGGACGAGGCGCAGGAGCCCTTTTTGGCGAGTTTCCAGCATCAGATGCAGACGGGGTTGTGGGTATCAGGGGATGAAGACTTTCAAGCCACTTCACGATCTCGTCGACCTAGGTCGACTTCCCCTATCCATCGGGCCTCTCCTCAGGCGCCATCACCTATCGTCGTCTCCACGCTTCCAAGGTCGATATCCACTCCAACCACTGCCGTCATCGCTCCTCCGACTAAATTGGCTGAGACCACAGTTGCGGCAGTTCAAACAGCTCTTAATCGACGTGCCATGCAGGTGGGCGCGCCTTCCTATTACCCGCAGTTTCGAAAACTTTTCGGTTATAGATACTGACCACAAATTAAGCTTTACTTCATTCATGTCTGAGAAGAAATTTTATTAACTCCGCAATCTCTCCAACGGAGAAACTAAAATTTTTGCCTTCCCAATTATTGTTAATCTTCAATATAATAATTGAACTGTAAAGAGAGAGAGGTAGGGAGAGAGGCTACTGGAAGAGATGATTAAACAGAAAAGGATACAGAAGGTTTTAATGGATACTGTAAAGATGTGGGTGTACAGTCGGTTCTCTGGGCCAATGACTGCACTTTGAATCAAATTAAGGCCCATAGAGAATGTGAAGAAACGGCTTTCGATATGGTCAGTATCGAAGTGGTATCACTATGGCCGTGACAGTTGCGAATAAACTGAATCAAAGCACCCCCCTCTCCTAACAGAAATGCGCCTACGTGGATGGATGCCTTAAATGGTGAAGGGACTTTGAAAGTATATTTCGAATGTACATATTTGAAATATCAAAGCCATAATAAGAAATAACACATACTACTCAAAGTTAAAAACCAATGTGAGTCAGTGGTAATGACTGAGTGTGAATAATTCAGAACTCTGTTGTTTGGACAGACAACTCGACATTTGTAAAGAAATTTGTGAGTTAATTGTTTCATTGTAATTCTCATATATTCAAATGTCCTATGCACTTGTCGATAGGGACACGGAAGATGGAGATTGGAAATTAGTGAAGGAAATGCATAACTTGTTCAAAGACAGAATCTTTTGATGCTTTGGTGCTTTTCTCTCAGCGATTCTTGTTGCAAATAAGTGCAGTGATTGGAGAATCTGTAGATGGGGTTGTCGTAGCACTGACTTGAAAAAAATCGCACAACGTGTGTCCCTTCCCTGCTATAGGTACAAGCATTGCTCCTTAAGTTTTCAAGTTTGAGAGGCCGACTGGATGGTCTGTCGAAGCGGTATTCGGAGGGGGAGGAGGAGAGAAGCCGCCTGATGGAACAAAACAATTCACTTTGCTCTGACCTTGATGTGATTCGCAAAGAGGTTGATGCGACACGATTGGAACGAGACAAAGCGAAACACTCTCTTGCCGTGGCCCTGGAGGAGCGCAGTCTGGTGGAACGAGCGCGAATCACAGCCTCGGAACAGGTAGCTGAACTTCAACGCGAAATTGAACAATTCCGTCGTCTTCTTTACGATACTTCCAAGGAACGCGACGCCCTCTTCGAGCAATGTAATTCTCGCCAACTTCAAGTTGAGAGTGAGGCAAGAGGACTTTTCTTATCATCAAAACATGATTCCTTAATTTTGAATGCAAATATACTTTTCTAAACGTTTCCTACTCCAGACTAGGGAAAATGAGCGTCTTCGAAGACTCCTGGAGCAATCAGAGGCACAAGGAGCTCAGCATCGAAGTGAGGCGGAAGCGGCACGCTCAGAGACGGCGAAGAAGGAGCAACAACTTGCGAACACATTGAATGAAATTGCAGACATCACAGACAAATACACTCGCTCTGAGCGCCTCGGTGCCGAACTCGGTGCTCAAATCGGCAAAGTAAACACTTTTAGTTCCATAAATTCTTTCATGCCAAAATTGTTAGTTAAAAAGCACGTATGTAAGATAAACTAATATGACTGAAGCAATTAATCAATTTCAAACTTCAAAGATCTCAAATATGCTCACAGGCTTAATACCTTGGAAGTCAATAGTTGATAGGAACTAATGAACCCGAAGCCGAAATCGTATAAATTGGGAGTGTAGGTGGCAGGTGACAGCAAGTGGCAAGAGTTCCAAAATGGGGAGCGCGAAGATTTGAGTTGGTCTTAGTGCATGGGCAAAGCACACAAGGATTTGAGTGAGTCAGAGAGCGGTGGGAGGGTGGGGGGGGGAGTGGGGAGGGGGTGGATGAGGTGGGATGGAGGTAGAGGAGGTGAGAGAAAGTGTAGGAACAGATGAAAAGACACACGTGCGTGTCTGTGTGTGCAAGTGTTGTCATGAGTGGTGATGTAGAGACGGTTTGTAGGAGTCACTTGAACAAGAGTGCTGATGCACTTTTGAGCGAAATTGGACATTTCTACGTTCAGTAGAATTGATAAACTCTTCTATTTCAGACAATTGAGGGTTTGAATTGTTGGGTTATAAAGGCGAAAAATTAAGGAATTTCCATAATAGATGTGATGCAACCAATTTTCGTATAGCCAAAGACAGCCATTCATCAAATAGTCGTCATCTTCTGGTTGAAGGTTATTTTAGGGAAAATAAGCGCTGAATATGTCATTTTATGGCTAGGAATTGATGATTACCATGATGTAACCAATAAGAGTTTAAATGTATTGGAATGGTGTTTTATGAAGACAAAGGTTGCAAATACCTTTCATCCGTCCAATGAAAAATCTTCTTAGTGATTGGTGATTATCATGATTGTTGATTGAAATAAATTGTCAAAAACGATAATATGAAACGCGCGTTTTAATAGAAGGTACTACAAGCGGTCTGAGTGGAAACGGAGTTTATTGAAGACTGGACGTCATAAGGAGATAAGTTGGGAAAGCAATCCTACTCAGTTAATTTTATTCCTTCGATGGTATCCATAAGACCTTCGAAGTTTACTTGTTCCACTTTCTTACCAGAAATAGGCGGAACATGCTTGTGTATTTGAAAAATATTTATTTTAAAGGACTTTTGTGGTCATTAGCATCGATCACTCTGGTTCAATACAATGCTTTTATTTATAGGCCCTGGCGAAAATCAATTGTTTGTCATTCAAAACATCAAGTTTGATATTGACCTATTTTTGTATCCCTCTAGAAAGCAAATAGAAGCCCAGAAAGGTTTCAAAATGGCCAGTAAGAGTTCGACTGTCTCGTTAAAAAGGCTTATGGTGGCTAGGCTTCCAGAGGCCAATCCTCGTTTGTCACGCTGACCCCGAATTGTTCCCCAAAATAATTGCAATTGCAATCTACTCAAACACTAATATCTAAAAGTCATATGATTTTGCGGGTGCTGTCACTAATATATTTTAGCTTTCGCGTCTTCACAACTACTTAATCAGATGTTTAACTCTTTGTCTTAACCCTCCAACAGATTATGAAAAACTTAAAAAAATAGAAATTCCTCAAATAGTTCCCTTTTTGTTATTGCGGGAAAATTTTTTCTAAAGTTTTTATTATTTAGCTGCAGCAAGAGAGACAAGAACTTCAGGAGAAACTGACGAATTTGGAGGAGGTGTTGGGTTCGCGAGATCAAGAACGATCCCAGCTGGGACACCAATTGAGTCTCCTTGCAGCTAATGAAATACGCTTGTCTGAGGAGCGAAATACGTTGCGCACCGAGTGTCAACAGTTGCGCAATGAGATATCGCGAATTGACGCAGAGGCGCAGTTGAGTAGCTCAGAATTGGTGCGACTGCGAAACACCATCGACCGAGCAGAGACTCAACGAGCCCAGGCCGAGGCGGAGGCGACGAGGTGCAATCGGGAGAAAGTGAAGCTCACAGAGGAAATCGTGACGGCGAATCAGCGGGCTTTTGCTTCCAAAGAAGAGATTGACACGTTGCGTCGAGAAATCGCCCAACAGGTATCCGCGATGAGGCGTCTTAGTGAGGAACGCGAGGAGCTTGTGCGAGATAAGGACGATCTCGCCGCCAAGGTATACACCTTCCCCCCTCCCCCCTCCCCATCTTCGATCTCTGTTATCAGAGAAATGAAGGAAATTATTTGGAAATATATTAAGCAGTTGTCGCTACTTAACCAAGCAAGGACAAGACGACGAGCATGTAGGAGCCATCAATTTAAGTAATCATATTGAAATGAACTAAGCTAAAGGGGGCAATTAGAGTATGGGAGTGGAGGAGGGCCAGTAGGATACGTGTTTCTCAAAATAGTTTTTTGGAAAAAATTCTTATTTACAGTTCATGTGTTATTAATAGTTTCCTTATGGGGTTTGAGAGGGTTTTAGCACATTTATTACAACCAACGAAATCTGCAACACATAAACCTCCATGGACTCACATTTAAAGTGCATATTTGAACACTAATTCAGTTAATACAATGAAGCAACGCACCTCTTACTACGGGCGCAGTTTGCTGAGAGCCAGAAAGCGGGCATAAAACCCAACAACCCCTTTACCGCCCATTTCTTATTAAGCCAACCCTGGCTACAAAATTGATAAATTATAGTCTATTGGCTCTCCAGTTGAGCAGTAACCCAAACATGATGTGAGGTAATCAGAAAATTAAGTACCCAAGAAATGCATTCACCCCGAACTTGGAAATATTCTATCTAAGATATAAGAGGAGGAGGAGGAGGAGGGGGAAGGGGGGAGGGAGAGAGTGAGGGAGCAAAATGCGTGAATAAATTCTCTTTGATTACTGAGCGATTTTGTTTTAGCTTTCTCTGGCCGAAAGAGAAAGACATCAACTCGCCGATTTAGTGTCCAAATTGCGCAATGATCGAGAGGTGTTGGACAACGAAGCCTTTCTGGCGCAACGCCAAATTACCGAACTGAAGAACAAGGTGGAGAAGCAGGAGACTGATATAGCGAATCTCAACTTGCGGCGAAATACCCTTCAAGGTAGGCTGAAGATTTTCATTATGTAGTCCGCTATATTGGCCTGCCTGAACGCCTTCTTTGCTGTGCAAACTTCAGCTGAAGTTCAAAGAGTGAGAAGTGATTTTGAGGCGGAGTTGGGCAAAATCCAACGACAGAGGGATAGACTGGGAGCAAAATATGCATCCGAGGTGGAGGAGTTACGAGCCACTCTGGCGGCAGCTGAACGACGTCTTGCAGAAGCGGAGGGTGAGATGAAATAAATTATTCTTCTTCTAGATCGCAGGTTCTAAGGAATTTAATTGTATTTTTATCTAGAGGCTGCAGTGCAGGCGGTTCTGCGGGCGGATCGTGTGGCTGCGGAGGCTACGAAGGCTTCCATGCGCGAAACGGATCGACACGGAGTGAGTGAGAGGGAGTCCCAGCGGTGGGCTGAGGAACAGGCTAGACTGAATCACGAACTCATCCTTGCTCAAAGGTACCACCTTATCCGTCTGCTCCTTTTATATGAAATTGGAATGATCTGGTAAAGGCAGCCAAATTTTAAGAAAGGGAAAATTCTGTCAGTTAGAAAGCTTTCCGAAAACCGTAAATGGATCTTCGTTCGATTACTCAAAGCTAAGAAGGGTGTTGATAGGTCAATATTTGTAACTTATTAACGCCTTAAAAGTAAATTGGTTATTCTTTAAAAATTCGTGATTTAGGTTTAATTACAACGTATTCTGACCTGTGTCCCACCGTTTTATTATAACCGCTATTAAATTAAAAATAAACCTCTAAAATTAAATAACTTTGGATGATCCGATTGCCTTTGAGCAAAATTTGTTTTAAAGTGGCATTTCGCTTTCAACTCCTGAAAAAAGTGGTATTTGGATCGGGGGAAGTATGCGTTTGAAATTTCGATTCGTAACTAAGCAGACGTTTGTTTATTTATATCAAATGGCAGGCGTCTTGATGGTTATCATTAGCCCTTTAGTTGCCTTCAGGCTTCACAGAGGGGAAGGAACATCAAAGTGAAAAGAATTCGGGAGGGGGGGGGGAACAGAAGAGTGTTTCAAAGATGTAAAAGAGACAGACACAAAGGTAGAGAAAAAGGTGAGGTGAGTACTGTGGAAATAGTCGAATATGGCATAGAGTGGAGTGATGGTAGTTTGAAGTCAGAAGTCAACTGCCGAGTGATAGACTTCTTTGCCGTATGAGTATACGTTGCCCAGGGGGCACCACGTGGAAGTAGATTTATTTCCACTATTTTGCATGATAAAATTGCTCGGTTCTGCCATT